GCAGCCTCAGCAGCAGAGCTGGTTGTGAACTCCAACCCGCAACCATGCTGGCGGGTTCGGAGTGCTTTCTGCAGGCTATACCCTTGCCTGACTAATGTATCCTGGGGGGGGTGGTACCCCTCTTGAGATTCTTGCGCCAAAACGCCCTGTAATTTTGGAGTAGTACACTGTTCCTTTCATTGCTATCCGGGAGCTTTGCCACTGATGCTGATTTGGGGCTTTATTTATGGGTGGTGTTGTGCAGGCCGGTAGTTTATGACTCCAGAACCATACTTCGGGTCTGTTACATATGGCCTAAAGCAAGGTGGGGCGGAAAAGTGACGGCTCCCCTTACTCTCACAGCACTGAAGCTTTTCTTACTCGGGGTTAATAGGGCATAAGGAAAATTTAAGCCCCATATTCATGGTAAGTTTTGGGAGCTGTAGGTCTCGGCAAGCTCTCACCTAATTAAAAATCATGTTCTCCTGCAAGTCCCAATGGCCCGGGGGAATTAAGCATCATGCCCTGTTTAACTACTTCCAACTACGCCCGGAGGTGTTTGTCATGGGCTCCCTTAAGGCTCCCGGCGGCCCCATCGCTTTAAAGTATCTCAGGATGGGCACTCCTAGCATGGATGTGTGGGGATCATAAGGGAAGTAGAGTGAATGCGTAAAAAAGGGAATGCTTGAGAACGCGCATATGCTCTATGATCACAATACATCACAATACCACATAGCGCCTAGTACCGCAACCTTACGCCACCGAACACACCCCCCAACGCCCGAAACCCCTAGCCCCAAACCCACCAAAACCCAACCGCACTAACTCCTCAGCCATAAACCTCAAACCCTAGCACCTAAACCCTGAACCCCAGGCCTAGGCCCAGTGAGGCAAGGAAGACCACGTTTACCAAGGCCATGCGCCTTCAGAAAGGCTTTTTCTGGGTTGCTGTTAAGGAATTTAAATTAAGTTACCATAATGGGTATATGTAGTAAATAATAGGGTTTCCCCAATATAGTAACTTAAATTAAGTTCCTTAACAGCAACCCAATTTTTTAATCCCAAATTCTAGTGCTTGCTTGGGTCTAAGGGTTCAGGGTGTAAGAGATTACCAACGGTATTGGGTCAGGTGTACTTTGACAGATTGTTCAATATGACAACAATGAAAGCCCATGTAGCCGCCTTTTCAGAGATGGGCCCCTGTGGGCCTCATGTTGACTTTGGCAACGGCAGAATTCCAGCCAGCTCTTGAACGCTACGAAGCTCTCCTCAAACATGAGCGTGGAAGGCTTCGATGTTCCTGGGGGCTAGAAGGTGTTAGCCTTCCTTTGTTTAAGGTACAATGCTTGCAAATTTCCAAATGGGTTCCTTGTAGAAAGTCAAGGTCTGGTGATGCAATGGTTTCCTTGGACCCATAACTAACCCTTTACCATGTTCAGGCTGCGGGGTTCAAGCTTGCAGTCCAGAGCTCACGAACGATATTGCAGCTCTGGTCAGCTCTGGTGTGGTGTGCTTCTGCAACAGATCTGCTGTCCTTTCTTCTGCATGTATGCCCTGACCCACACACAGGAAGCTTGTGGTGGACTACAAGCCTCTGCTCAAAGGACAAAGGTCTAAACTCTAAACGCCTAAAAACGATCTTTGCAAACCATGTTTGTCACGGGGTGGGTACCCAAACCCAACCGCGCTCCCCACAAGCAAACCCTGAGGAGGATTTCCAAAACATGCTGTCTGCTTTTTAGGTGTCCCATAAACTGGAACATAACATCTTGGGGTACATAAGGCGGGAACCCTTTTTGTGCACACCCATTACGTCCACACTCCACACCCTCAAACCTGCACCGTAGAACCCGATGCATGATGCCAGCCTCATGACTCAGAAGGCCAGGAAGGAAGTTCCCTCCATGCTCCGGCAACCAGTTTACTTGAAGGCTCTCTTGACTTAGTAAGTTTACGTAATACCCGGAGGTTTTGGGACTTCTGATAATACGGGCTATTGGGGATACTAGGTAGACTTACTACGTCAAAAGATCATCCAGGTAGAAACAGCAGAATTCTCGAATGAAAAACATTCTGGATGCAACAATCATAACAGCAATGCCAATGATCACTGATTTAGGGTTGGGGATTTAAAGGTTGGGGGAGAAACAGCACAAGGTGGCCCTCTCACAGTCCCGCCACTCCCTGGGAAGGCACCGCTTGGGGCGCTGCTCCCGGAGGTGTGGGGGCTGTCTACATTTGTCGCGGGGGAAGCTTTGGAGGGTTTCGGCCCCCTCAGGCCTTGAACATGAAAAGGTTACATGGGTGTTTCCCAAAATTAGGGGTGCCATTTCAAGGCCCCCCACAATACGGCTTATAGTATTTTGAGGTCTATAATTATTGGGGTTCCCTTGTTTTGGGAAATTACCACATTACTTGAGGGTTGAGGATCTAGAGTCTAGAGTTCAGGATTTAGGGTTTAGGATGTATGACTTGGGGTGTGAGGATTTCCGGAAACTACGGTTGATACGAAAAGCTGGTTTGACCCGGTGTATTTCATACCTTGCAACATGTCGGGGCTCGTGGTGTTCTAGTATACTAACCTCATGCAAGTTTTCAAATATCAACAGTATGGGACTTTCGTTTAGGAATCCCGAAAATGAAGACGCTGGAAACTCTAGAACCTAAATCTTGCACCCTAGACCCTCATTTTGGGAAATGTCATGTGGAAGCCATGAATTGACAAACGGGTAAATGCCAACATCACTCATATTGAAGCTAGACTGGCGAGCATACTCCAACAACTCCTGACATGAAAACTTTTTGGGGGAGAGCATTCATCTAAAACACTGGTTGGGTTGAGGCTAGGTGAGGACACCATAACTGGCCCAAATAATTAATCTTGAAAGCCGCAACTTGTGTCTTAGGCACGCCTTATCCGTGGGAATTCCTACATGTGATCAGTCATGGCTTGGGGCGACCCCGCTCTCGATGGGGACCCATATCGTACCCTACATGATTCCCTCGTGGTCCCTAGAACCCTCTCCCTTCCCTTCCAAGCACTTGTAAATTTCCTGGACAGGCTCATGCCTAAACACCACCACATCAGGTGAGATCGTCGTAGTTCGTCACTTCAAGTTGATGGAACTTTCTGGTTGTTCGTCTGACATAGATTCATATAGTAGTCCCTATCAACTCACCAAACAATATTAAAAAGTTTCAATTAAAATTGCATTCTTTCATTCCCGCAAGTTACCCTTCACCCCTAAGACTTGCATACGCCTCCGTTTCCATCTCATCTTCCATTCCATAAGATTTTCCATTCTTTACGCCCTACACCCTAAAACTAAAGGACCGGAGAACCCCACATGTGTAGTGTATTGTAGTTTAACCTGAATATAAGTGAAATAATGTTAGGACGGTGTCGCCCCCCGAACTAAGAAGACGTGCTTAAAGAGAAGATGAGAACACGAAACGATAACCCGCGACGGAAAGAAGAGCAGGTTGCGCGAGGGTGGCCAGAGCAGTCTCTGCAACGTATGTGCAAGCCGCGAGGCTTACTGAACCGAAGCTGGACTGCTTCGTCCATGAGGCCGCTGCATGCATACACATACGTACACACACACATATACATATATACACGTAGTTGGCAGTGCCAAGTGCGACGCGAGATGCGGAGGTGCAGCAGGCTCATGTCTGGTAATTACCATGCAACTACATGCATGTGTAAGTATATCTAAACCATAAGCGTATATCTCTTTATCTATGTATACAAATATGTATATATATATATCTCTTGAGTAATTTCAAGTTATAACTCCCTAAGTACCCCATCAAGCACGACGCGCAAACCCATAGTTGGATCACATCACGGAAGATGCAATGTTGGTGGGCGGGTGTGTCTTTGCGATTCTGTCTACTCAGCCTTATAATCCCCAAAATCACCACTAAAAAATCCCCTGCTGCAGACGATGCTATTCCGAAACGAGATGACGAACGACTGTGTCGCAGAAAAGTGAAAAATGGAGAACATGACAATCTTGAGAAAATCAGCGTAATGCTGGAAATTTGATGCTTATCGTAGTCCTGAGTTTGCGAGAGTTGCTCCTAAGAGCCGAAGTGTTCCCGGCATTGAGGCAAGACTTTCGATTACATGCGCTTTATGTTGTGAATGCGCTGTTCCTTGCTCTTCTCCCTGTAATCCATGCCACTTGATTTGGGGTTACATTGCCACCAAAAAGTGGAAGTAAGATGATTTCAGTGTGGAAGCCCGGCACTTCCACCACATGAAAACGGCTTGCAAACAGTTTAAAACTTGCCTGCTCAAGAAAGATATCAACGCTACGTGAAAAATTGCGTTTGGATTTTCGAGCACCACTTGAACCATACAAGAGCACAGTTGCGAGGAGCTTATTGATGCATGTTGGTTCGGCAAAATTGGGGTTGATTCCAGCAGTGCACTATATGACCCACGAATATAAAATACAATAACATATCGTTTTTTTGTCGATTCCTTGAATCGACAAAATACAGCTTATAAAATCTATCAGTTCTAGTAATAACATACGGATTTTTGTCGATTCCTTGAATCGGCAAAATACAGCTTATAAAGCCTATCAATTCTAGTAAAACCATACAGTATTTTGTCGGTTCTTTGCATCGGCAAAATACAGCTTATAAAACCTATCCATTCTATGACTCAGCAAAAAACATTGATAGGCCCTACCAAAATTTCGATTCTCCAGATGATTAAAATGTTTGAATCATCTAATGGTATTTTGGTGTTCAGTGAAGCACCTAGATACTTTACATATTCAATTCCCAAACCCGGCCTTCACCATTCACACGTCGCCCAGATTTTGCCACGGGCTTCGCTGCATAATGCCACTGACCTGCGGAGCAAAAGGAAACGGGTGAAAGCTTGCATGCTTGGAAGCTCTAGCCTCCGCGCATGCGAAGTGCTCAAGCTTGAGTCCATTTCAGGACCCCTTCCAGTGATCCCATTCACATTTGCTTGGCTGAAAGCCGGAGTCGCAGGCTTCTCAGCGCTGAGGAGCTTTCAGAAAGTTCACAAGGGCTGGGCCAAAGCTCTGAGATTGCTGTCGAATCGAGGCCAGTCGTTTCGGCGCAGCTTGTTCCCACCGTTTGAGCAGGAGAGCATGCTTCTCGTAGCGAGTAACACTCTTGCGGGCCGCCCAACGGCCTCTCTTCTGAATCTCTTCAAGGGATCGCCTCTTATGAAACATGTCATTTGAAGCTCCTGAGTGCCGAAAAATGTGAGGCATGATGCACGTAGACTTGTATGACAACTGCTTGCAGCTCTTCTCACACCAGCGCTCGAAAAAGTTGAGGGTGATGTTGGGGAAGAGGTTGTTGCTGCACTGCTTCACGTACAGGGTCATGGCCTGAGCCAACCACTGCCTGTCAGGGCGGTCAGCCACCAAGACAGAGTCATCTGAGGTTCCTTGCTTGGTTGTTTCGCCCAGCTCGGACGGGGCGATCACAATGGACCACTTGTTGTAGCGGCCTTCAGCTGGGAACCCCAGATGTGCCAGGGTGAGGCCTAGCAGTTCTGAGGGCCTCATGTACGTGTCATACTGGAGGGCGATGGCAAAGGCTAGGTCGCCACGGTGCTGCTGCAACGCAAGGAGGCCCAAGTCGAATACAAACTCCTCTGGAACCGGAAGTCGCATGCCCCCAGGCTGGAGCTTCTTCCAACCACTGAGCGCCTCCTTAGCGTTGGGAAGGAAGTCTCGCTTTGGACCATCATTGCGCAGCAGCTGTAACCCATAGATCACGTAGGCACCGGTTGAGGGCCGGATCTCTTCATTCTCGTCATCCTCTGCAAGAAAGTTCAGGTAGAGGGTGACCAGCCGATCCAAACCTTGTTTAGTAATGCGATGTCCGCGAGTCTTGGCCCAGGCCTCGAAGTCGCGGACGTGCCGGTGGTAGCTGTCTAGGGTCTTCTGCGTGACCTTGAGGGAGCGGAGGCGCAGCAGAGGAGACAGTGAAGTTCCCTCTGGAGTAGTCCTGGGTTTTGCTCGCCTTTTTGGGGTAGTCGTCGATCCGCTTGTAGCCGGCGAGCCGAGCAATGTCCTTGGCTGTGAAGTGGCCGAAGATGACCGGGTGCGTGCGGATGTAGCGCTTGGCGTCGACCAGGAACTCGTCGCCGTCCTCCGAGCCGTCACCTTGTCGAAGACGTCCGCCGGAAGTCGCATCAAGTGCTCGTTGAGCTCGACGTGCCGCCGCTTCGACGCCATGGAGGAAGCGGAGGGTCTCAGAGGATGAGGTTGTCCCGAATCCTCCTTGGGGAGCTGCCTCCCTGAGAAGTTGAGCCCAAGCATTGCACAAAGTTACGGGGTAGGCTCCAGCTGCCGAAGTGCGGTTACAGGTACTGCGCTTGCCGTTCACAAATGTCACCATTGTTCCTCGCAACTGCTCATGAACATGACCTCCAGGACATCGACATGCAAGGCTTAGGAGTGAATGTAGGTCAGTGAGGATGCTAGTCGGCTTTTTGTAAGGAGCACCCCATGCACACATGTGGAAAGTGAAGAAGCAAATGCGCTTGTCAAGGAAAAGATCACGTATTGGTCCAAAATCCCAGAGCCGGCTGGTCTGGGGATTTTCCAAACTGAAATGAATCCCTGCAGCAAGACACTCACGAATCACACAGGCTGAGAAAAGAGCGAGCGCAACTCCAACTGCTTCTTTCCGACGGGCTTTCTTGAAGTCCTTGAGGTTGTGACGGGCCCGGCTCCAAACGGTGCAAGGAGTCCCAAGATGTACAAACCAGACTTCCCGCCTACGGATGTAGTTGAACAGGAGCTCTTGGGTATCCGGGCACGTCAGGTCAAAACACTTGGACTTGCCGATCTCAAAATCGGGCAACACGAAAAGGCCGTTCGCCTGCACCGCCTCAGTCAGCCGCCCTGTGCCGGAGAAGAGCTCCAAAAAGTAGCGAGGAGAAGCTGAAGAAGAAGAGGAGCTCGGTGTTCTGCCACGTCTGGTCCGGAGCCTCGAAGCTTGAGGAGTCAGCCTCCGCGTGAGCGTGCCGTCGTTCTCGTCGTACGTCAGGAGAATGGCCCAGCTCAAAGGAGATGGCCTTGCAGTGAAGGCCCTGGGTGCCATGCCCTCCGGGTAGCCGAGGATCAGGTAGAACGGGAGCTTCAGGTGGTCGCGGTAGTTCAGCTCCGGCGCCGTCGTCATCGTGTAGCCGCCCGAGTTGATATGGTCGAGGCAAGTCAGGACCAAAGCGCCGGGAAGGCTCGTCCGCCACGTTGCGCTTGCTCTCGATGTGCCTGAGTCGCCACTGAATGCGCCCTCCAAGTTGGTAAGCCGCTGCTTGCCTGCACAGGTTGTTGAGCGGTCGTGAGCCACTGCGCCCCTTCTCGAAGGCAAGGGCTGAGACCAAGTTGTCCGTGATGGTGAGGGCCGTTGTACCCAGGTTGCGCACAGTCCTACACAGCCTGCGAAGTCCCATCAAGCACACTCTGGCCTCCTTGAAGTTGATGTGCTCTTTGACGTTGTCCCAGGCCTTGGCAGTGACGAGGGTCCAGCGAAGAGGATCATCCCACGATCCAGCCAAGGGAGGGATGCCAGGTCCTGCTATCACAGTCTTCTCAACCTCCTTTGGGGCACCCAAAAGGCGAGCGCGCCGTTGCTTGAAGAGGGGGTCTTGAAGTGCTACGTCCAGTGCGCGAGTCAGCTCCTTGCCAAACTGCGTCTGAGTGCCAAGACCGGCCAGGGGAGTCTGGCCAACATATCCAAGTTGCTCCGCCTCGATATCGTCATGGACTGGTAGTGGAGGAGGTTCTGCACTGTGTCGAAAGCGCCACCGTTCCCGACGACGAAGAGCCTCTCTCACCTCCGCATGGCTGGCCTGCGTGCTCATCAAAGCGTAACCCCGATCCGAAGAATCACCCACATGCACCTTGGGGCACAGACATGTCCAGTTCCACAAGGAAAATGAGCCCGAGGACGTCACGGAGCTCTGAACGGACTGATGCCCACATTGGTGCCCTGCGGTCCAAGTTCTCAGCCGCAAACTTGTAGGTGACGGAGAGGGTGCTGAGTCCAGGCCTCGCAAGTTGAAAGTGAAAGTTGGCAAGCCCCAGCCATACTCGAAGGAGTCGTCCGCAAACCCGACGTCGTCTGAGCAGACCTCGCGTAGCCATCCAGAGGGTCCAAGCGCGCGAGGTCTTTGATCGGGCCGTGCAACGGTCGCCAAATTCGAAGTGAAGGCCAAGGCCATGCATCCATCCCTGTCCCTCTACGTTGTCGACCTCAAAGGGGATGCCAAGCAGAGCGAAGCGGTCGGCAATAGCTTTCATGCGGTCGCCGGCCTCGCCCTGGTAGCCGCCAAAGGCGTGGATGTTGTCGACGTAGGTCCCGACCACCGTTCGGGGTCTGGAGCTTGAGAAGCTAACTTGACCTTGCCGCCTTTCTTCTTCTTTTTCTTCTTGCGATTGCCCTTGCCATCTTCCTCGGAGCTGTCCTCGTCCTCTCCATCTCCGCGATAGCCTCGCCCTCGAAGTTGCCGACGTTCTTGATTGAACAGCCTCTCCTGCTTCCACAGCGAGGCCCTCTCCTTGAGTCTGGACGAAACCTACTCGGAGAACTTGGAGGTGGCAGCCCGGCCATCTGGAAGTTGAGCCGTGCCACTCACTATGTCGAGCCCACTGAAGTCCGGAGCCGAAGGATTGCGTTCGACCGCCAACTCCGTCTGGATCACCCACCTGGTCAGATGCTCCCCCACTGCAAGTGCGATGGCATCCAGCTGGTCAAAGGAGTGCATCAACCTGCCCAGAGCTTCCAATATTGCTT